CCCCACTGAATAAAGCTGTCATTTCAGCCATACCATGGGCTATAAGCTATTGTAGAACAAAAATTTCCTATATAAATCTAATGAAAGGAATCTCCTATTTTTCTGGATTTAAAGAAGTTACTCCATTTCAGGTAGAGTAATGAATGAGAAGAAGCTGCTAATTTCTTGTTCCCCCGACACAGCCTCCCCATGCATGTCACTCCCTTCTTACACCTCTGCCCAAGGCTTATCATTCATGTAACATTTATTTGAAGTTAATTTATTCTAAACAGAATAAAGTGACATATCTAAAAGAAATAATTTGAAGGCCTCTTTTAACAGTTTTTTCATTTTAATAGATTAACATACAATTTTAATGTAAATAACCTCATTGTTTTTAAAAAGTATTTTTTTTTAAAAGATTTATTTATTTATTTAAGAGAGAGAGCCTGCACATCCTGGGCAGAGGGAGGGAGAGAGAGAGAGTGTTAAGCACACTCAGTGCTGAGTGAGTGTGGAGCCCCACACGGGCTCCATATCACGACCTTAAGATCACGACTTGAACCGAAAACCAAGAATCGAATGCTTAACAGACTGCACCTCCCAGGGACCTCTTAAAACGTGGTTTTTACTACTTTTCTGGGAGTTGGAGTAGGGTGCTCTGTGCAGTTTATTTCGTGATGTATGCTGGGTTTGCATTTGGATATTGAAACATACATAATTATAGAGTGTTGGGGATGCATGAAATGCTATATTTTGTTTTATTAGAAGGACCACTGCATTTACTTCATCTATTTTTTCTTAGTGTTTGGAAGAAAAGGAAGCACATCTAGAATAGGATTCTTTTTTTATCTCTTTTTAAAAAGATCATTAATTTATTTTAAAATTCTACGATTATTGGGACACTGTAGAAATACCAGGAAGTATGGATGAGGTAAAAGGAGACTATGCATCTGTGATCATCTCACCTCTGTTATCACATCTTATGAACACACGCATGTTTTGGCAACGTTTCTAATCACTTATGTTTTGATGATGACTTAGAGGAGATTTCATTTCATTCAGTTAACTCCAGTTCTTCCTTCTAAGGGTATTTGGCTCAAGAGACCTATTTTAATTTCTGTAGTACTACAAGCCTTCTAGGGCTTTTGGACATATATCCTCCTAGTTTCTTGATCACTTAAGTCTTTGTGAGCATCAGATACTATCTGGAGAAGAAGAGAAATTGATCCTGAGGATGAGATTTTCAGAAATTAGTTTATAGGTGAGATGACCTGTCCAACCTAAGCACAACAGTGGGCTGGCATGAGAGGGGTTGCAAGACTTCTATGGACTCTCTAGTTGATTCTTTTTCCTGTCCAACAAGTGTGTCCTTCAGGGTCTAAATAATAGAGTAATTCTTTGGTACCGATCTCCCGTCATTGATATTACTTACCACTATGCAACTTGAGGGTTTTTAATACCTAGTTGAAAGAGCAGAACTCATTGATACCTTTGGAAATATTTGGTCCATTTTCAAAGGTTGACCTTGTTCTCATATAGTATGAATTGCTATTTGAAGACATATTTTTGACAAGTACTAAAAGTTGATATAAATAAATCTTGTAGGCTAATGAAAAACAGTTGCTTTTAAACTATCTCTGCCTTTTCTCTTTGAAGACCAGTAACAGCTATCACGATTTACCTAAAAATATTAATTATCAGACACAAATATGGTCTTAAGGCCCCATGTAAAGGCTGATAGGTGGTTCTTTTGCAGTTAAAAGCATGTTGCTCTTGCTTTTTAATTTCATCCCTTCACTCTCAACTCTTCACTTTGCTTCTAGCCCCACTCCCTGAGCAAATCAGAGCCAATGAACTGATAAAAGATTCTTCAAGTTCCTTATTTTTTTATCTCCAAATTTCCCCGTAGTATTTTCACCAGTTTTCTTTCTCCCCTGTGTTTAAGTAGAAAGTTGTCCCTCTCTTTCTTTCCAAGTTAATCCAAACAAGCAGCCATGGTTTCCTACCTCCATCATCAGTTATCTACCCCCCAATCTGGATTTCCTTCATGGAGACTCCTTTATTTGAAACATATCTTTGGCACAAGAGTTTGCCATTGGTTATCCTAATATATCTTTCCTCTCCCACCTATCAAGCTTCATGCCCAACTAGTAAGTGTGAGACAACATCCATTGTGATTTTTTACTGAATTTCACACTGTCGATGGCCCCCATTGTTACATATCCTCTTTCTGACTTCCATGACCATCTCTTGTCCATTCATCTTATTAATTATGGAGACTATTTGTACATCATTTGATGGCTTATTTATCTCTTTAATATCTCTGCTCTGTTGGTTCTCTCATCCGTCCCAAAGAGAATATATTACTCTTATCCCTAACAGCATAGTGCCATCTAAGGAGAATATAAATGTGAATAAAACGGACCTGTGGGTTCTCCCTCACAAAAGTGACTGTGTAGCAGGGACGACAGACATTAAAGAAATAGCTCGAAAATGGGTGGATTACACTGTGGCGAGTGCTCCAAAGGCTCTCCTCCCCTCCCTACTCCTCCTGTGCTGAGGGCTTTCACTCAACTGAGGTGACAGTGAGGGACCTGATGCTGTAATTGTGCACAGCACTTACACGTGTGAGGGGCAGCCTGTTGAGAGTATTTTAGGTGGCTGGGGGAGCAACAGCAAAGGAAGGAAGTACCCCAGCGTCTTGAGGAAATGTTGAGTAATGCAGGACAATGTGGATCTGGGGTGCATGCGAGTGAGAAGTGAACTGTAGAAATTGAGTGGATTGCAGCGGGTTCTGTGTCTGATCTGCTGCTAAGCGTTTTACATACTTCGTCTCCGTTATTCTGACAAAAATCTCAAAAGGAAGGTGGTATCAGCCCATTTATCAGGGGAAGAATCTGAGGCCCAGAGAGGCTCATTAGGTCAGAAGGACTCAAAGGACCATGGAGTCAGCAGATGGCACTACCTGAATTGAGTCACATCTTGCTCTTACCCTGAGCGTGGACTGTTACTGGTACAGGTGGAGCCGTAGTATCTGTGTGTGTGTGACGAGCTCTGCAAATGCTACTTTTATGACCCTGAATCTGTGCTCCTTGAGGACAGGGACCATTCATCCTTGTATTTTCTCAGGCTTCCTAGCATCTTGTCTTCCCCCAAGTAGATATTCTAATAGCAGGTGTTCAGTAACTTTGCTGACATCTTTCCATCACTCGTCACACAAAAGTTTACATTAGAACTATTTGCCAGGTACCTTAACTGAAAAAAATTGCCAGGGCACATGACTGGCACTGCCTGAGGTTGGTTGGTTGGTTTGTTTTTAGATTTTACTTATTTGAGAGGGAAAGAGAGAGAGAGGGAACATACCAGTGGGGGGGGAGGGGGGGAAGGGCAGAGGGAGAGACAGAAGCAGGCTTCCCGCTGAGCAGGGAGCCTGACGCAGGGCTCCATCCCAGGACCCTGAGATCATGACCTGAGCCGAAGGCAGACGCTTACCCGACTGAGCCACCCAGGTGCCCCCTGCCTAAGTTTTGTACAGTTTTCTCGGTGTCCTCCTGTTCCCTTCCAGGGCTCACATGTACACATCCCACTAGACAAAAAAGAAATGTATCAGTAATTGTCTATAATGGCAACAAAAATTGGAGATTAATAAGCTGCTCAGATCATGCAGGTGTGCAACAAAATGTAGGAATCACTACCTGTGTTGACTTTATCCTATGATTAGGTCTTATCTTTTAAAACCTTGAAGGAGATTTGGATATTCAGAATACAAAGTAACTACAACTTCTAGAAGGGACTTGCTCCTAGCTTTTTTTTTTTTTTTTTCCCTTAAGAGGCAAATTTGAACACCTGAAACGTTACTAATTATTTCTGCACAGGGTAGCAAGTTGGATTGTCAGGGTATACAAATGCATATTTTTGGGAGAGTATAATAAAAAAGGAATCAGTGCAAAGAAAAGTGGTGACCTAAATGCAAGTGTGTGAGAAAGACCCAATGATGGAAAGTGGCAGAAGCTGAGAGAGGAAAACAGGCTCTTACTTCAAGAGTATAAAAGCAAAATGCAACTTTGTGCAGAGTGCAGAGTTTTTGTTTTGTTTTGTTTTTTAAATAAGTCAAATCAAGCATGGAATTCTCCAAGTCTCAAGGCTTTTGCCCTTTTTTGTAGCCATTATGAACACAGTACAGTTAGTCTTCCCTGGGAGATAGTCTTTGCTCATGCAAGCTCCTTAGAATTAGTTACTGTTAGGAAGGGTAAGTGCCTAACATGGGCAAACATATACAAAAAGCTAAGGAAAGGGGATGTACTGAGGCTTAGAGCTTGGAATTTTACTAAGAAAATGGAAGAGTATAGAATTTGTTTAGCGGTATGTGTGTGTTTTTGTTATGCTGTCACTAAGTATTTTCTTTTCCCTTGTGGGAAAAATAGTGCTTGAATTTACTGTGTCTGTGGAACAGGGGTGGAGGTGGTCCAGTAGAGGAAGTTGGTGTATAACATGTTTGCATTTCCAGCTATTTGCCTCACACCTAATGAGACCTGCCCTCTTTATTGTTTTGTCATTTGGCAATAAATATGCATACACCTCACACAGTCATGTTGGAAGCCAGTGGAACATATTTCTCCTCAAAGCACTTGAGGATCCTAGCAAGATCATTTTTTTAAAAATTTAGTATTTAATGATGCCGTATATAGAAAACCAAGCTTGCTAAGAAATAACATTTTCCTTACGGAAGAAGTATGACTAGATAATATGTAATATGATGTGACATTATTACCATGTCAAATTTTAAACAATGAAAAGTTTTCAAGAGTCAAAACTTACTCTGGAGGGTACGCCCACATCAAATGCTTCTATTAAGACTTCAGGTCAGTTGACACTTTTTTTTTTTACTTTAGCAAGTTCCAAACTGGAAAAACAAGGGTGTTGCCAGTGGAGGTTGAGGTGAATTGAAAGGTGGGTGGGATGCCACCAGCGCAAGCCAGCATGAAGATGCTGTGGTTAGTGCATTTCATGGATGTGAAATGCAACCCCACCCCTGCAGACAAGGGTTTCAAAATGTATTTTCTGCTTTTCAGGATGAATCTTCAAGTCATGAATGTAACCAGCGCACAATCCTTCTTTATGGAGTGGGCAAAGAGCGTGACGAAGCGAGGCATCAGTTGAAGAAGATTACCAAAGATATTTTGAAAATCCTAAATAAGAAGAGCACCACAGAGACGGGGGGTAAAGAACCTCAGTGCATTTGCTCCCATTGTGCTGTCCTTTGCCCTTCCTCTTAGCCCGGTCTTTATCAAAGTCATACATGACACTGTCACCAAAGTGTTTCCTCTCCTGAATGACTGTCATATTGCAATATGAATAAGCATATTGAAATTTTAAGGCCTTGGTTCTATTTATAGTAATCCTTATATTAAAATACCGTGTTCTATAGATAGATATAGGTAATTTTAATTTTCTACTCTTTTGTTTTTATTCTTCCCAAAATTTCTACAGTAGGCATAAAGAAGTACTGAAGAAGGAGTTGGAAAACCCTTAGTCTGGAAAAGTTCCATTTTTTCAATTCTTTACCATCTTTTTTTTTTAAGCTTGTAGTTTGCTCTGTGTACTCACATTTGCACGATAATTGAAAATCATGATAGTGTAGTTGCTGATCTTGTCTTACTTTATTCAGAAGAATAATTGTAATAGGTAGTGGTGGCTACCCATAACACCAAATGATTTCGACTAAAAAAGAAAATTGGGTCTTTGTTCTGTAATGCCTTCTTTACTTGGAATAATCTTTTCCCGTGCTCTTGACATAGATTTTTTACAGTGAAGCTATGCCTTTATATTATGTCACCACATTGCATAATTGGAATTCTTTAATTATCCAATTCACATTTGCCTAATTACTCCTTTTTAAGGATTGTTTATTTTATCAGGCAGTCATAAGATTTAAAATATGATATCATTCTATATACTTCACTACCATTACTGGTGTTTATTTCTTTATTGTGTAAATAACCAAAGAAAAAAAAGTTTGGATTTTCTCTATGCAAACAGTGTTCTTCCTACACATGGCATAAACAACTCTAGGAACCCTGCTTTGTTGGCCAGTGCAAAATACATATGTTTTTATGAACCTCTTCACAGGGCCTCCAGTCTTTAGTCTTTAACCAGGTGATTTACTTAGAGGTTGCCCACACTAGATCTTTCCTAGACAAAGTACAGAGAGAACTAATACAAATGGCTCTGTGTCCTCTCCATCATTGGGGGAGCACATGCAGAAACAAGGTACAAGGGCAGTATGCTTTTGAGTGTGAATGTGGTGTTGCAGGTGTCTGATGTCTGAGGCAGCTGTCTTTAGAACATAATCAAAGGATTACTTCAGGTGATGTACAACAGTTCCCTGACTCCTCTCCCTTCCATGGCCACTGAAGGACCTTGTACCACACTGGGGCCATGAGGGAGCAACCAAGAGTTGTGGATGGGAAATGAAACCTTGTTGTTGTTGGCCTGTCATTCTTGAGCTTGGTTTAAAAAAAAAAACAAAAAACCCCCAAAAACCCAGAAACAAAGAACCCGCTCTAAGAAAAACTGTTGATCCTCTTGTTTTGCTGTTTTTCTCTGTTAGAGAAAAGAGGAAATGGATTGCATGTAGAAGGTTGAATTTAGAAGCGCTATAACTAGCTAGCAAAGAGATTTGAAACTTCTTTTTGTTTACTTGGAATCGGATGGCCACTGTCTTCTTTAGAAGGGTCAGGGAAACATATTTCATCAAAATTAATTTTAGAGAGTCTCTCCCGATCTTATGGAATTTTAGGATTTGGAAGGCTTAGAGGGGTCAGAAAGGGAAGGAAACAGTGCGGTGTCCTTTTTTGTTGAGCCTACTTCCTTCCTTCACAATGAGTATTTAATGCCAGACTTTATACAGTCTATCCTATCTCTATACCAGTCTCTTACATAGGCAGTTCTTGCTTATGATCTCACAAAGAGAAAATCATTGTTGTTTCATGCTACTTTTTGAGATATCAACAGTGAAACCATCACTGTGGAGATATATTTGCAATGGGGATTTTTGTCTTCCCCTCATTTTATTTTTTACTTTTTAAAGATTTATTTATTTTGGAGAGAGTGTGCATGAGCAGAGGGAGGGGCAGAGGGAGAGAAACTCAAGCAGACTGCACCCTGAGTGGGAAGCCTACCCAGGGGCTTGATCCCACAACCCCGAGATCATGACCTGAGCCAAAACCAAGAGTCGGATGCTCAGCCGACTGAGTCATCCAGGTGCTCCTGTCTTTCCCTCATTTTAGATAAAATTACTCCTTCAGAAATATGTTAATTTAGGCTGTCGTGAGCTGTCCTCTGATAAATAGTCAAAGTTTGAGTCACTACTTAAAACCTAGTATGTTCGCCAGAAGCTAGCTAGCTGTACTTCTGATTAACGGTGATTTGCCCACTGTTTCAGCAAAGAGGAGGACTGGTAAGGAAGGGAAACAGAGCTTGTGTTAGTGTGTCTTTGATTTCTGGCTACATATAAAAGTATGGTTTTGAGGAACTCATTAGAAGTGTTCTCACATCAGCTAGGCCTTATGTAGGAGTTCAAATGACACTTCCCAGTTGAGCATGGTCAATCTTCATTTTCCATTTACATTGGCCAGTCATCTTTGGTTGTCACTGTTTTTTTTTAAACATTAATGGAGTTTACCATGACAATAAAGTCCAAAATTTCCAGGATTTAAAGATTTTTTTTTTGGGCGCCTGGGTGGCTCAGATGGTTAAGCGTCTGCCTTCGGCTCAGGTCATGATCCGGGGTCCTGGGATCGAGTCCCGCATCGGGCTCCCTGCTCAGTGCAGAGCCTGCTCCTCCTTCTCCCTCTGCCATTCCCTCTGCTTGTGCTCTTCTATCTCTCTGTCAAATAAATAAATAAAATCTTTAAAAAAAAGATTTTTTTTTAAAGGGAAACCAAAATTAAGAAAAGAGCAATAAAATGTATTATGAAAGCAAATTAACATAAAACAGATGAGGAAAATCAATGATTATGACTACATTGTTATTTATGTAAATACCATGAAAATAAAATAGTCCATTGAGAACCACCACTAATTTCTTAAATTTTTTTAAAAGTGAATGTCAATTGCCAAGACTCCAATTGTATGAGGTTTTAAGAAGTTAGCTACATGTAAGTAAAATAGAGCCTATTTAGCATAAACCAAAAAAAGTGAATTTGTGAATTCTCATGCAGGCTGTACTTCCTCAAATGTGTTATTTTTTGCTTGTTAGTTTTGGCCCGAGGAAGGACTGATTAAATATGTTAACTTCACTTTTACAACATTTTGTACCCAAGACAATTGATGTGAGTTTTCAGCCTTGGGATCAATGATGTTAGCTCATGAAATATTCAAAACTTGGATATATTAAGCATGCTTATTACATGTGAACAGCTAAAAAGAAGGCAAACGACCACACTTAATTTGAGAATAGATATTGGAAATCAAGTAGGTTGGGGTGCCTGGGTGGCTCAGTTGGTTAAGCGTCTGCCTTTGGCTCAGGTCATGTTCCCAGGGTCCTGGGATCGAGCCCCACGTTGGGCTCCCTGCTCGGCAGGAAGCCTGCTGTCCCTCTCCCATTCCCCCGCTTGTGTTTCCTCTCTCGCTGTGTCTCTTTCTGTCAAATAAATGAAATCTTAAAAAAGAAAAATCAAGTAGGTTTAATGAACTTCTGAGTTCTTACTCTTTGCATTAGATTTGGTGTTAACACAAGGGGCACAGTCTTGTATCTTCTGTTACTCATCACCTCTGAATTCTATGTACTCTCCTATCAAGGTTTGTTTGCTTTAGGAAATAAAACACCCTGGTGTGTGCACACCTACACCTATAAACTACACTTGCTTGTATTTGAAAGAAAATCTCTTCTAATGTTATTTTCTAAAACCATTACGTTTGCCTTCAGCAAGATCTTTTTGCATTCAGTGAAATATTTGTGTCTTTAATAGAAAAAAAAAAATCTGTAAAGTGACCTTTGTTGTTCTCTGAAAGTAAACTTTCCCAAATAGGACATGAGTGATGAAGCTCCTGTCTCAGTAGCCTTAGACTACTTAGAATCAGAGCATTAGAAATGATCTTACAGATCATGTAATCCGACCTTTCTGGGTTTTTTTAGATTTGTCTTTATAAATGCATATATTTAAAGATATTTAAGACCAGATCTGATTCTTTTTGAATTGTTGAGAAGAACAAGAATCCTCCGGGGAGAAGTAGTGTTTATAATATTTTTTTCCTGGAATTTTCTTTAAACTTCTTTATGCTAAATTGATAAATGTGGCACTTCCCCATTATGTGGAGCGATTTAATCCTTGCTACCCCTAAAAAACTTTAAAATTGGGTAAACTTCCTTTTTTACATATTAAACTGTTTGGGAGAAATATCATGGTGAATGTCCTAACAAGATGCCAGTGAAGTTTCTATTCTGTCAGTGTGACCCTGGGTGATTTTTTTTTTCCCCTTTCATTTTTATCATTGTATTTTAAGAGTTAGTGAGAAATATTTATAGAGGTACTTCCCATTAATAGTCAAAATCTGGAAACTGCTCACTAGAATGAATAAATAAATGGTGGTATATCACACGTTAGTATACTATCCATGAATGGGAATTACTTAATTTTAGAACAAGTTAAAATTGCCTCAACAGTGTGGATCAATTTTCAGAAGCATATAGTTGAGTGAAAGCTGCCGGATGTGAAAAGTATCTCTCCTTGTTTCCAAAGTGGGCAATACTCATCCAAGCCTTTAGAGGTCAGGATCTTGATTCCCTGGGGCAGAGAGGTGACTAGAAGGAGCCCGAGGGGGTATCTAGTTTTCTGGTATGTGATTTTGTGATTTGAGTCTCATTACTTGACTTGACTTTGTAGAAATTCATAGTTTGTGCACTTCTCCATATATGTTATAGTTCAATAGAAAGTATCCCCTGAAAAAGTCAAGAGCTTCCATTAAATGGAAAGTAATGTATCCACTGTCTATTTAGTTGGAGATGAAGGACCAAAAGCCAGGAAGAACAAACAGGAAGCATTTCCGACACTAGAGACTGTATTCACAAAACTTCAGCTCCTTTCATATTTCGATCAGCATCAAGTGACGTCTCAGGTAGCTGTTTAAAGCTATGTGTTATGCATTTGGGATATTCATATTTACTTCAAAATTTCTTTCATGCAGTATATGTTTTTGGCCTTATTTGGTTGTATAGATATGTTTTTAAAACATATTTGGAAATTTGGAATCATCTCAAACTATTGAGTAGTTCAGTTTGAAGCGTCAGGTTGCCTTCTTCAGAGAAATTAATTTTTATCACACATACTTTTGCCTTATGATAATAGTCAACACTGTGTCAGATAGTCCCTAATGCAATAGTTACGTTATTACATTTTGGTCCTACATTGCTATGGGAAGGGAGAAATCTGTTGATGACTACAATAAAATACTATCTAAATGAGCAAAAACCAGATCTGTGTTGTTTTACAAATCCACTGATTCTCAGATAGATGTTATCTGGAAATTAATTAGCATTTGTAGTTGTTCTACCATTAAGATAGGTTAAGATCTTAATGACCACTTGGCTTATTTCTTCAAATTATAGTTGTAGTAAGAAAGTTGTTGGATTTGTATATAGTTTTGGTTTCTTTGGAAATATGTTTTAACTTTTTTTCTAAGTAGAATATATAAATTCAAATTTCTTAAAAAATTAAAATAATTTTGAATATTGATTTTACAGTTGTTTTCAGTTTTGTTTGTTTTTGGTTGCCCAGATCTCTAACAATGTGCTGGAACAAATCACAAGCTTTGCTTCAGGAACATCCTATCATCTCCCTTTGGCTCACCATATTCAACTTATCTTTGATCTTATGGAGCCAGCGCTAAACATCAATGGACTAATTGACTTCGCAATACAGGTGTCAAAGAGACCTTGCTTCTCTCAATTTTAGGAAAGCAAACCTGCTAGGCATCATATAATTTAAAATGAGCAACCCAGTGCATTTTTGAATAATAGAGATATTCTGAATCAATAGTATTCAAGTAGTATTTTAATTGTAGCCATGTTCATAATCTTCAATTAAATAATTATAATTGTGCAAAAATATATAATAGTTATTTAAAAATGTGAGGGTTTTGAGGATTTATTTTTGTCTTTTGTTCTAAGAAAAGGTGAAAGTTTATTATTTATTGTAGAGTATATTTTAGGTTAAGAGCAAAAAATAAAACCTTATAATTTGATTTGTCCCATTAAATGTCTTATAAACATACTTGAGTTCATTTATTATCTTGCTTTTAGTGAATAGAAATAAAACTCGTTTTCTATTTCTTATTGGAGGTGTTTTGTTAATAACAAGAAAATAATGATAAATAACTTCTGTTTTCTTGAAAAGAAAGGAAAAGAGAGGAAAACGTGAGAAGTGGGGATATTCTCTGAAATCATCTGGTCTAGAACTTTGGGCTGCCATCAAGTTTTGGTAGCTCTTTCAGTGTTGGATACTTTCTGATTGTATGTATCATGATGTCTAGACAGAGGCAAAACTGTAGAATTTGGTAAAGGATTAAAAATAAAAACCAGTTTAATTCGTTGGGGCTTGTTTTCTCACACTGTAGTTGTCTATGCATATGGTCCCGGGACAGATAATGGGTGAGATAAAATGGTATTGGAATGACTCAGTGTATCTGTGGCTTGTGAAAATAAATGTTTTTCCTATTCCTTTTGGCAGCTACATTTTTATTCAGTCTTTTCTTCCATTGTAGCTGCTAAATGAACTGAGTGTTGTGGAAGCCGAACTGCTCCTGAAATCCTCCAGCCTGGCAGGAAGTTACACAACGGGACTGTGTGTGTGCATCGTGGCTGTTCTCAGGCGGTATCATAGCTGTCTCATCCTCAATCCTGATCAGACAGCCCAGGTGTTTGAAGGGTTGGTATATAAAATATCATGACTGGTTTTCACATGTTGTCTGTGTATAATTTGTGATGGAATGTCATAACGGTTTTAAGAGGAAAAATAGGACAGGTGTTTGTTTCAATTTGAAAGATAGAATTAAAGACTACTTTTGCCGGAAAACATGTATCAGAGAAGAAGGTGTAAGCAGGAAAAGTGTGTTCTCTAAATAGAGGGGCCTTCCTTGCCTGCCCCTAATTTCTGTGAGCATAAGCCCATCATTTACAACACTGTATCATTTGCTACCCTGAACCATGGCTTATGATGAATGATGAATATGTCACAGCTGCTTCATTGATGTAATTCCAGTTTATAGTCAAGACGAAATGAGCTTTGCGCACATTGTTATTTTCCTATTTGCTTTTTCAGTTTCGTTTCTTTTAGAAACTAAATACGTCTTGACAAAAGTTTATCTAGAACAAATGACTTTCTTGTGTCTTAGTCTGTTTTTTGGTTTGTTTGAACTATAGGGTGAAGTTTTCTTTGCTGTCACTCATGAAGTTGGACCAAGTCCTAACATCATCCCCATTAGAGAGGCTGAGGTTACAGGGCTGAGAGAAATGTAGTGACAGAGCACCTGTATGGAGCTCCTTTTTGTCTACTGCAGACTTCTTTCTCTAGGGCTTTATCTATATTAAAACAAAAACAAAAACAACACCTCTTTTTCTGACATTTTCCTTCCTGGATTTAAAAGAAACATGGGGTTCTGTGGTTCCATAATACTTTTTTTCTGTAATCTAGCGCATGCAATCAATTTATCATCTATTCTGGGGTGCCATCCATTTAGCAGAAGCTTTTTTGGGGAAAAGGAAATGCTACCACATTAATAGTACACACAAACTATTAAATGAAATCTTAAACATTCCAGATATTTTTAAAAGGTTGAAAATAAACATTTTAGAATTCAGGAAATATAGGACCACCTAATAGCCCTCAACTACCCTATAAAATTGCATAATTAGTACCATTTACAAATCATGAAACTGAGACTCAGGCCTTTTAAATGAAGTGTTTGTTGAAGTGATCTACTTAACATTGCATAGCTAATAAATCTCCCAGATTGCTAAAAGTCATTCTACGTAAGAGCACATTCATACACCTTGATTTATACTGTGCTTTCTAAACTGTGTTTGGAAACCCATCAGTTAGTCATAAAGTGAATATTATAGGTTTTGACAAATTTTTTTTTGTTATTTTGAAATTTATTTTAGTATCATTTATTTTGACATTTTAAATGTATTATCTATTAAGTGTTCATAAAATCATATTTGATATTATATTTTTATTTTGTACTGAATGCATATACTGGATCTCAGTGTAAAATGTTTTTCTTATCTCTAACAAGTGAAAAAAAATCAAGGAAACACTGCTATGGTATGGATGCCTACCAAGCTCTCAGTAAATGTTTGTTTACTTTAATCACAACATAATTCCTTGCTTTTTAGAGTATGTGTGGAGTTTTTGTTAGTATATTTAACAGATCGAATCCTCTACTTTGCTTCTTAATTGCAGGATACTTTTACTGTAACTGACAGCTTTTATCAGCTGTCTGGTGGCTCTGTCTGCTGATATCATTTCACAGGGCTTGGGATGCAACATTGTCATTTCTTTATTGTCTTGTCATTTCCACCTCTGGTATTTGTGATTGTAGTGTCCTTCTTGGCCTTGACAGCCTAGGCTCTCCCTGGTTTCCCCGACCCCCTTAATAATGGAGAGAGCTGAGGATTGGGAGTCGGGAGACCTCAGCTCTCCTCTTGGATGTGCTATTAATTAGCTTTTTGCCTTTGGGCAAGTTATTTCACCTGTCTGAGCCTCAGCTCTGTCTTTTTTAAATGAGGAAAGTGAATCAGATGATTTTAAAAGCCCTTTTCAGCTTTAATAATCTGAGTCATCGATGACACTATTGTGATATTACTGAACCCTATAACAGAATACAAGATGGCAATAGTGGAATCAGAGTTACAAATAGGTGGATGGACCACCAGTGTTTTCTGGTGTGTTATATGAAGCTTTTCGTTGAGTGAACTGTGGCCAAAGGGACCATCCTTCCGTTATGGGGAAAAGGGCACATAAATGGAACAGTAACAGTACTTCTTTTTTGAAAGGCTTCTAGAGAATGTCATTAAAAAAAGGCGGGGGGGTTAATTTCTTACATAAGATAAAGTAAAATTTGTGTCTGGTTTGGATAAACAAGGAGAATATGACCTCAAATCATGAATTCATCAAGTTTTTGCCAGGACCAGCTCATGGTCCTGAAAATGAGTTTCCCAGATTTACTGATTTAGAGACTTGCTCTTTTCCAAAGGAGTGGACTTAAGAATCTTTGCAAATGGCCTGAATTTATGAATCTTTTTACTGAAGAGAGATTCTCTACGACAGAGTTCCTCGTGTTCTAGTCACAGTAAATTCATTGATGGATTCTCCATATGTACCTTCTGTATTCATTTCTTGTTGTTAATGGTATTACCCAAGTCTTTTTAAAAATCATCTAGTTTTTCAATATCCTAATAGAAAAATGATATTTTATGCAATTATGTACTATTGCTATAATCATTAGTATCAAAAACCTGATACCTTTTTTCTTATCCAAGTAATACACCCACATAGTCTCACTCTAAAGGATTCAAATAATAAGATATATATTAGCAAAATATGCATGTCATTTCTTCACGTATTTTTCCCCCTTAGGTTATGTGGTGTGGTAAAGCATGTTGTGAACCCCTCAGAATGTTCCTCCCCCGAGAGATGCATCTTAGCCTACCTCTACGATCTCTATGTGTCATGTAGCCACCTCAGAAGTAAATTTGGAGACCTCTTCAGGTGGGTAGAAGAAAATCAACAGGAATAGGATTATGCCTATATTTGATAGTGACCCAACTGATATTGTCATACTTTTTAATAATGAAAATTAATCATAATTATATCTGCCAGAATTCATATTGAATTGTTTTTCATTGTCACTTTAACCTCCTATTACCAGTTACTCTGCATGTTTAGCTATGATTGCAATTCTGAGATAAACTTGAAAGGAAATATTCTGTACTTTGCACTTGCTAGTACCTCACTTGAAACATTGTTTCACTGCTGTTTGAATGCTTACTTTCTCACCGCCTTTGCTTCTCTGCTTCCTTGACCATCCTATTTCAGATGGTGTCCCTGATTGGGTGTCATTCTCTGCATCTTAGCACTTGCTATTACTACCCAAGTACACAGGTGCTAGAAAACACATACTTACTTAATGTTATTTTGAGGAAATTTCGATTATTAATTGTAGGTGGGGTTATGAAAGGGACGATAATAGCTGAGTATTAAATTTGTCAACTAGAAGGAGCTAAGGAAAGAATTAGGGTTCTTTGTTCTTAAATTCCGCGAGCTTTGTCATCCAGGTTTGTGTAGAATGTGACTGCTCATCATTGCTTTGTCACCACCACCATCTCTTGGTTAGACCATTGCAGAGTCCTGACTGATTTCACTGCTCGCACCCCTGACTCTCTTTAGCATATTGTCAGCATACCTACTAAAGTCATCCTTTAAAACAAGAATAACTTGAAGATTTCTAGTGGCTTCTTATCTACACAGAATAAAATTCAAAGTCCTAACCTGCCTTCAGGATCCACTGAATGCAGTCTACTCTTTTCCCTCTTCCCCACTGTGTACGCCATGCTAACCACATGGACCTCCTTACTGGTCTTCACACACTCTAAGCACACTCCCATCTTGGGACTTTGGCACTTGCTGCTCCCATTCTTACTAACATGTTCATCCCCCCAGTACATTTATGGTCTACCTCCCTGCCCATCCTGTTTTCAATAGCAGCCTCTTCCCCCTCCTCTCTGTCATTCTCTGAACCTTAGCACTTGCCAACACTGGGTGAATTATATATGTATTTATGGTCTGGCTTCCTCCTAGAATGTAAGCTTCGTGAAAGGAGTAACTTTTATTTTCTTCACTGGCATATCCTGGTACCTTGAAGAACGTTTGGCTCCTTAGCAGGCGCTGCAAAAAACCTGCTGAATGAAAGCTTCATCCGGCGGGGGAAAAAAATCATGATATTTTCAATGGTATCAATAGGGGAAAAAAACGGGAGAGTATGTCATGAAATGAGCTAGGTTTCCCAGTAATCCCTTGTAGAACATTCGAGTGGGTCTTAGGAAACATCTTTCCACAGAAATGATGTAATAATACCATACATTCTTACTTTACAGACAGCTTTCATTTTCAGTTTACGGTTTTCAGAGAGCTTTCTCATACATGATTTGGTTCTTGAAACCAAATAGTGAACTTCCGGAGAAAGCCCCAATAGCCTGTTTGACCCCTAGTGCTCCCGCCGGGTAGTGCAAGTGTGTTCAGTAAGTGAATTCAAGTAATGTGCCCGGGGCGTGTGGAGGCTTAGGAGACCAACAGTGAGCTGAGGGTCAGTACGGTGTCACATCACAGGGAGGGGCCCTGGCTCACGCTTGCTCAATTAAAGATCTGGCAGTCCAGCACAGCTCTCTGGAAACCCTGAAGTCAGGCATTATTTGTTGATCGGGATTAAGAAGAACAGTCAAGGGCGCCTGGGTGGCTCAGTTGGTTAAGCGTCTGCCTTCGGCTCGGGTCACGATCCCAGGGTCCTGGGATCGAGCCCCGCATCGGGCTCCCCTGCTCAGCGGGAAGCCTGCTTCTCCCTCTCCCACTCCCCCTGCTTGTGTTCCCTCTCTCGCT